TTCAATGAGGTGCCGCCGCTGAGACGCGTATTAGCATCAATTTAATCTCGACAAATCTCTGGTTTTTCGGCCCCCTAGCTTTCATCTAGCAATTGTTTCAGTTTTCCTGTTCCGGCTAGCGGACAGCAGCTGCTCCCCTTTTCGCCTGCGTCCCAACGGCCGCAAGAAGCTCGCTAAAACCAGATGCTCTACTAAAGCACAAAAGCCTGCAGACTTGACTTCAGCTTAATCAAGGTCATGTGGCAGACAAGGCTTACTTACACGCAAAGGCCAGCCTGCCGTGTCACCTATAGTCCGTTGTGTTTATGCCTCCCAGACGGACACATCATACGCAAGCAAACAGTCCATTCGCGGAAACTTGCCTAGTGTACTAATAAACTTCTCCTAACATCTGACGTTTGCACGAAGCTTAACCTCACCAATTACCGTCCAGACTACAAGCCATCAGCGAATCCATGCAGCATCAGAAGTCGCATTAACGATGAGTATTATAAGAACGGTATTTAAAAGAATAAATCCAGAGGCTCATTATACTCATATTTAATTAAATTTAATCTTAAAATATATTATATGGCTCTCCCTGAAATATATTTCCAAACATTTTCTTTCTTGGCTCTCTGAGTCAGGAAGGTTGCCGACCCCTGCTCGCTTAGACAACTTTTATGTAGTCAAGCATGTAACCAAGAATTCTCCCCACCACTTTTACTACAGGCTACGGCCATATCCTAAAGTCACTTCTGTTCATGACTGATACTGCCATGTGTTTAAAACATAATCTTTGACTTTCTTGAATTTCCCTCCCCCCTAGTAAGTCGCTTGCCCTGTGGAAAATTCTCATGACCAGCGGTGATCCTGCCTACACCTCGCTAATCTCACAACTCTACCGAGGTCAGGGTCTTTATGCGACATATTTTGTTGTGCCGGATTCTGCGTGGAATCAGCTGCCTGCTGAAGCCTACAATAAGCTCCTAAGTAATCAAACGTTATTAATTGAGGTAAGATTAGTATCAAATGACTATTATAAATATTATATGATAGAATCCACAATGTTCTCTTATAACAGTGGCCAGTTTGTTTAAATGGAACGGAATAATGAGGAGAAAGGAATCGTGAGGGTTCACAACAATTTTATTCGCAGGAGTACTTATTTCTCTGTCGAAACCAGTATTGTCAGCACAATTTTAGCAGTCTTTCCCTTAAACTTTCGGACATGCTTGGTTCTCTTTTCACATAACTTGATCTTGTCGATTCATACAGCGGGAGGCTGCTAGAAAATGCAAATTACTGGTGTGAAAAATCCCACTAACAAGGACGAAGACACCTACTGTCCTCTATCAGATCAGTTGTGGTTTTGGGCTAAGCAACTGCGACGATGCCCAAACTTGCAGCATCAGTAAGGAGAAATGACGCTATTGCTTATGTCGTTACTCATAAGAGGGTACGTGGACTCCCTTTCAGACCCAGGGGTCGGGAACGTATGGCTCTTTTGCTGATTGCATCTGGCTCTCTCAGATAAAATTTGAATTATAAACTTCAAATTTGTTGATTTTGATTCCTTCAAGGACTGACCACCAGCATGACGCCTAGTGGAATTAATTTAATCTCGAGCAATCTCGCATTTGGCTCTCTCAGAAAAATTGGAATTTGTAACTTTAGGCTTATTAAACTGACATTTAACTAAATTCATTCTTAAAACATATTATATGACTCTCACTGAAATATGTTAACAAATATTTGCTTTCCTGGCTCTCTGAGTCAAAAAGTTTACTGACCTCTGGTCTAAGTAGTAGTTGGGCTCGGATCACTACAACCATCAAGTCGAATCCCAGTAAAAGACAGAAGTCATCAGAATGAGGGCTTTACTGTGCACAGAACCGTATGTTACTGTCGCAGGCAGCAATGGCTGCTGGCGAAGCCATGGCCGATGTCAGTAAGCAAATAATCTTTCTAGATATTTAACGAAAATTAACTGATTTTAAATTTAAAATTTAAAAATTTATTAAATTTAAAATTTAATATGCGCAAAAATTCGAGGTCCAGGTATAATATTCATTTCATCATCCCCGGAAGAGACCCCGGAAGGGGCGATTTCTGGGACCAGATTGTATTTTAGCTTAAGTTTCAAAAGCCTTCTCGCTTCCATCGTCAGAGCGTGGTGACCGTTCTCCTGCTGGTGTCAGTATGTGTGTCCGAACGCTAGCCTGACGCCTGATGTCCATGTGTCAATCGATTGTACCGATCGATTTTTGTGGCCGTTTGAATTGCTGGCGCCCTCACGGGTGCTTCCATGAGGTGCGTTAAGTCATTTATGTGCATCCTGAGCGTTTCCACCTTCTTCTCTCGCGGCTGCCGGCTGTTGGCCCTGCGTATCTTCCTCCACCCGACCTATTTGCATCATCTACTGATAGTCGCTTGCATGTTGGAAATAGATTTATTCTCTTTAGCATGTTTTATTATACCCGCGAATTTCCGCGTTGCCATAGTGATTATGAAGGTAAGGTTTGCCTCCCACAATTTTACCGACCTAAGTAACACACACAGCTTATATTCAACTGGAAAGTGGCCCTAGTTGCCGCGCTGGTCATTATCACCATGACGACCGTTGAACAATCAAGAAAGATCTGCACGCATAGAGCTTCGTAAGATTTATTGCTTTCTCGCGTAGAAACCTTTGCTTCTTCTCCTTAATCAACATAATCAATAACCGGCAACAACTTTAGATAAATATGCATTAAGGATAAGAAAGGTTTCTCTTCTCAACTAAATATCTTGGGATGCCCGCATTTCAACACATAAATATGTATTAACTACAAAATTGGCATCCCAATGAGTATAATTTGGTAAAAATAGTCCTTTGAGAAACGATAGTTTATTGTGCGAATTTTCGACACTGACTCGCTAGGTTGTCGTCAGACGGATGAGGGTTGTACGAAACAGTTGATTTAAACCGATGGCTAACATAAGATTATATAGTGGGTCAGGGAATTAGTCAATAAT